AGACTATGTGTATGTAAGTGTATGTAGACTATATGTGTTGTGTTTGCTGTGTAGGCGACATCGCCGGGAGCGGTTGAAAGCATCATTGAGCATCCGCTGAAGCCTCACAAGTTCCTCATCGGCTACAGCCGCGGCCTGATGGTGCTCTGGGACAACAAGTCGCTCAACGCCGACCAGACCTTCATGACGAACCACGTAGGTGGCGCTACTGTTCACGTTCACCCACAACAAGATCTGTTGAGAATAACTTTGCGTTTCCGCCCAATTGTTGGTTATGAATGAGCGACATGTGTTTATGAAAGAAGTATATAAACATTTTTAAACCTTTTTGTAGGGTAATGCTAGTAAGTGCTGTACTTGCGTGTGTGTGACATTAGTCATAACATGAACATTTTCTCTTCGAAAAACATCATAAAGTTACGAGAATAGAAAATGTCCTGGAAATCATCGTAACTAACTTTACGAAACAAAATTCTGTGAGCAGTATATGAGAAAAAGTAAATGTTAAGACTAATATTAAGACTAGACCTTCGTTTCTGACCACGCACCCTTCCCCCCCCCCTCACTATGTTCTCTCGCTTTGTCGTGCAGCAACTGGAGTCGCTGGCATGGGTGCGTGGTGGTGACAAGTTTGCGAGCGCTCACAACGATGGCAGCTACATGGTGTGGAACACCCTCAGTGCACTCGATCTCTCCCACGGATCGACTACACCGTATGGTAAGGCTTTCCTCTCCTTTCATTCTTCTTCCTGCTCCATGTGAGAGCTATTGTTGGCAGGTGACATTTATTTCCTAATGTAATTTCCATGTATGGCATTTAGGATTCCCCCTCGATTCCCCCTCCTAGCCTGTAGATTGGATTAGTCGCTCTGCGTTCTTAACAGAGAGGTAACTACATTTAAGTGACATTTGCTGCATTTACTCTCAATCGCGGGGGCCTGGGAGTAATCATATATGTGTGTGTGTGTGTGTGTGTGTACACAGGGGATGTAATGCATAATCCGATCAGTCCGAGAGCATGTAGTATTCACTTTGCTAAACAGTTGATGCATCCCGGCATCACTGTCCATGTAGAGTGTGCGGGTCAGCTCTGTAGGATAAGGTCCATTCATATGTGTGTGTGTGTGTGTGTGTGTGTGTGTGTGTGTCTACACACAGGCTTTTGATCTCAGAGATTCGTGGTAATGCCGTCTCGTATTACGCGGTGTAATCAGATAGAGTAGCACAGAGAACTCAGCAGCGGAGCAGTAAATGTTGTTAGCAGTAGGTGTTGACAGAGGTTTCATCCGAGTTAAATGCCATCATGTCCCCTTCTATAATCTCCACATCACGTCTTGTCGCGTACAGGCAGTGGCGTAGCTAGGATTTTTTCAGCGGGGTGGGGGCA